TTGCAGCTAGGACTTCATTACGCAGTGGTAGATAGCATTAAATTGGGGAAAAAAGCCACCTTTGCAAAAATAAAGAATCCATGTTTGCAAAAGCTCTCTAAGCTGGGCTATTTCAATACTTAACTTTTGTTTTTAAAAGAAGCTACTGGTAGTTTTCAAACACTTTCACCTCCATAATTTGCTTTCCCTTCTACTGCATGTCCTCGACTCTGACAACACAGTAGAGAATGTCTCTTTAGATTCAATAGATTAGTCCTATTGCTATTTAAAGAGCTCATTGAAAACAGTAGGAACAATGCTTGTATTCACTGTTTTCTCTGAATTTTTCAGCATATGAAAAATGTCATCCAAATAGCGGAACTTCTCCTTTCATTCCTCTCCCCCTGATCTCTCCCCCTGCCCTTGCAAATTTCATCAACTCTTTGTGGGTGTTGTCAAAATGATTTTCTGGATGAAAAATGTCCTTATTCTGTACGTACCAACAGAGCGTATGGTGCTGTACATCTCAGGGCACATGAATGCTGTTCAGAGGAGTTGCTTTGAACTGCAGCACAGTTGGTGTTCAGAGGAAGGTTTGCACAGGGTGGTTGTTTCCCTGGCCTCCCAGCTCACCTGCATGGGGGGGATAGACTATTAGCATTTCATCTGTCCAGACGGTGACAGTTTTCCTGGTCATACTGAGCACTTGGAGGAATGAATTCCATAGTTTCTATCGTCTGTAGGAGCTTTGGCTTCTGTATCGTTCCTGCGGTCACCAGTTGTATTGCTCCAGAACAAAGATTGAAGGAGCTTGTGAAAAACTGTCTTCAACCCTGGCTTGGCCCATTAAAGGTTCTGAAGATAAGAATAGGGTTTTAAATACTGGGACTAGCTGAGGGTCTCCTCTCCCAAATTTAAAATTTGAGTGCATAAGAAATAAGGAGCCAGTGAAATGACTGGAACCACGGAGTAATATTTGGTCTGTAACCTACAGTGAGAGATACTGCTGCATGCATAACTAATGACAGCTTTTCAGCAGCAGTATTTTCATTCCAAGATAGAGTACACTGCAGCTGTCAGAGCTGGAGTCACAAAAGTTCAAAGGATTGTCACCAGGTCAGCATCAAAATGGACTGGATGTGGTTTCATGGACGGCCAAGGATACATGGACAAAAACGGTGCATGTGTGTGTTCAGTGACGAAGTCTGTTTGAGTATCCTGTAGCACTGAGGAGTCTTGTAGAGCCTCTAGGCCTTGAACCAGCATCACTCCATTAAAAGAGGTGCTTTGGACAGATGGTATTGGAGCACTGATCAGTTTTAATTTTTAACATCTTTATCCTCTGGGTGCTTTCACCATCTTCATATTCATCCAGCTGTTCTTCAGTCGGGTGCTCATCCTGGCTGGACACTAGGATATGTGCATGATGACAGTTGGAATTGGATGAGATGATGTTGAATTAGGGGTCATCTATGGACTGTTCTCATTTGTATCCATAGTGTCCTGTGACTTCTTCCAGTAACTCCCATACCTATGAATGTTGAAAAAGAAAGTGAAAAGAGGACTACCTTGAGGTAGAGTGCAAGAGACAATATTGTCTAGTGAATAAAGCAGAGGATTTAAGATATGGAACAAAGTTTTTATTCCACTGGTTTGTTTGATCATTTTGGGTAACTTGCTATGACTTCCCCTGTCTGTAAAATGGGGATAATGTTAAGGCTGGCTGGAACCATTCCAGCAACATGTGTTATTTCATTGCAACCTACTGTTTCATTGAAGCTAAAATATTTCATGGAGAGAAATTAATTTTGTTTGAAATTCATTTTTTTTTGGCAAGCTGAGTGTTTCTGACAAGAGAACAGAATCCAGAACTGACCATTTTGAGAGAGAAACATCAATTGTAACAAAATAGTGTTTTGCAAAAAACATTTGTGATGTTTTGGTTTTGTTCCAATGCCAAATGAAAGCAGTCTTTGAAACCTCGGCAGTTGTCAGAAAGCAGCACTGTTGTTCTCCAGTCCATTCTAATAATGAGGCCAGTCTCCTTATAAAGCAGTTTGAAATCTATGCATGAATCCATATGAGCATCTGTTGGTGATTTAGAGAGGAAGGATTGAAGTCATAAGCATATACTCATTCTTGTTTTACTGCGTGCACACAATAGATGGCTTTAGTCTGACCATTTAGCTTAACGTAAGTAAACACTGTTTATGGTCTAAATCACATAGTTAGGTCTTTAAAAGAACCTGTTTACAGCTACAATGGTGTGGAGGGAAAAGAATAGAGAAAAGCTTGGTAAGCTTGTTTGGTGGTGGGGAGCTTTTTTCCCCACTCCTGAGACAAATTGCCTGCTAGCAAACCTGAATCCAAGGTGAATTATTTCAGCCAGCTGGTAAACTTGGAGCTTATAATGGAACTACTGATGCCAACAGGCTCTTAACTATATCAGGGCCAGTAGGTGTAGCTATAATATATTAAATGATACAAAGGCATCTAATAAACCTCACTTGAGTATTAGTTCACTATATTTTCATTCATCAGACTGGTATATTCCAAAAATATATAGTTGTCATGACACACTTGCAAAAAGAACATTGCTAGAATAATCAAAATGCCTGTTGGTCATTGGAAAATGATAGGCTCTGGGCTGCTCCCAGTGACATAAGGGAGAGCTTTGCTATAGCTTTCAGAGAGACCAGAATCCACTACTATGTTAGGGTCATTAGAGAATTCTGTTTATTTGTAGGATCAATGGTACTGTTCAAAGTAACCCAGTGCTGTACTGATTTATAGAGAGAGTGAGAGGTAAAGTGCTCCTCCTATGCAGGAGGTCGGAACAGATTATTATAAGGTTCCTTTCTAGCTGTAATGTGCAGAGCAGTGCGCAGGGATCGTACATGATCTGCAAAGGACCAACATTTGCTGCCCTCCCCTTCCTGCTCAGTGTACCAGAAGCAGCACTGTGACCCTACAGTGCTCCTCCTCCTCCCCACCACCCTTGCAACTGAGGCCCATGTGGGCAGCTGGGCAAAGTGGAGCCATGCCTAAAGGCAAAGTTACATGTTACACTTCAGCCATACTAAGGGCATGTAAAACACAACAATCCCCATGTGAAAGCTTATTAACTCATGTTAAGTGGCCTTTGAGTGTGTCAAAGTTATGTCCCTTAGGATGAGGGTTAAGTGTGGGCCATGGTTAGGGTAATATCAGTCTGCTTAATGGAGATAAATGAGCAATTTGCAGCCCTCTGGCAGCCCAGAGGTGCACTGTTCCCAGCCCCCTCCCAGCAGGGAGGAAGCCCAGGTACCCAAGTCTTAGCCCTGCCCCTGCTTGCCAGCTCTCTAGTGGTAAGTCAGAGCCATGCAGGCAAAAAAACAGCATTAACCTGTAATGGGCCATTGCTCACAGCACGCTCACACGTCTAGTATAGTGTAAGGTGTAACTTCACCCTTATACCACTCAGTGCCATGGAAAATTTGTGCCATGGTGGGATACAAAGTAGGGCTGGGGAGGCTGTTGTAACTTAGAGCTGCTGGGGGAGGTTTAAACCCCAGGAGCTGAAGAGCAGTAACCCGGAGTAAAGCTCACATGTGGGAGCTGCAGCAGGACATGCAGCTCTTCTGAATGCGTGGCGGTTCTGCTTCCCCACTTGGATCTGGGGTCCACGCACGTGTCTGCAGTCCAGCAGCCTCCTTGAGCTGCTCGCTTTGCAGGTTAACACCGTGAGCTCCCTAATGGCTTCGAGGAAGAAGCTGCAGGACTGACGTCTTGGCCACTGGGCTGCGCGGGGGGGAGGCCCCTTAAACACGGTGCCACAGGCGCCTCTCTGCTTTGCAGCCAGGAGACCTGGCCAAATCTTGTTGCAGCTGCTTCATTTAGTAGGCGGGATGAAACTTCTCTTCCAGATGAGCTTCCCCCGGCAGCAGCCTCCACGTGGAGCTAGCCCTGAAGGAGCAGGGGCAAACCCAGGCGTGCTGCCCTCTCTCTTGGGTCAGCAGTGTATTCAGCCGGTTCCCAGGGGCCGCCTGGAGGCTTTCAGCTCCCGGGACGTGGCCCTGGCCCTTCTGCTTTCAATGTAGCACGTTCCCGAGGGGGCTTTGTAGGTGGGACCGGGCCTCATCCAGGCCTGGGGGGGCTGTGGGCCTGAGTGCTGCGTTCCCTGAGC